ATTAAAAAAAGCTTAAAATAATTCACAGTATGGAAAGTGTTAAAAAGGCCATATATTTTTCATCTCTTTTTCTTCGTCAACAAAATCAATCTGCTGTGTGTTTCAGTAACTTTGCTGAAAGTATTCCAGATTTGCATCCGTGTAGCTGAAGGCACTTTTGACCTTACGTGGAGACTGGGAAAATAATAACTATAGGTGTGATTTTGATCATTCATAATTTAAAAGGAAACATCTCATGTTTGCTGCAGATCATCTGTTTCACTCATTATGTTCATATCTTAGCTAGTATTTTCGTGTTTAATTTGGAGATTGCATGGCCCCAGTTCAAAATGAAAGCTTGGTTCTGAATCCCATGGATTTTGCAGCTGAATCTCAGCCACAGGAACACCCTTTTCCAATTATAACGTGTTTGGCTAGGGTGTAAATCCTAGTGCATATTGTATACTGAAAGTCACAATGTTCGCAAAGCACTCAAGAAACCTCTGAAGATCTTCTGTAAAAACCTGATGAGTTTGTTGTAAAAAATCAGAAACGTTTTCTGCCTTTAAAAATGTGACTGTGCTACAGTATCAGAGTAAGACCATCATCTGTTATTTTTAATTTGTTATGTTAATGGGCTGCAAGGTCCAAAGTATTTGGCATATATGAACTCTTCTGCTGCTCCCCTTTGTAAAGCTCCAGCATTTTTTACACAGCTCTGCAGGAACACAGACCATAACGTCTGGAATGTTTTGATCTTATCTTAAGTTTTTAATAACTTTCTTTTTTATATACTACATATTTTACATTTTTTATTGCAAAACTCACTTTGCAGCTGTTTATTCGCTCCTAACCTTAGAGGGTTCTGCTCATCTCCAGATCCCCGAAGGACAGCAATTGAGGTGCCGGCTCCCAGCAGCAGCCGTCCTGCCCCAAGGGGGTGCTGCCGAAGTGCGAGGCACCCCCAGCTTCCTCCACGGAGGAAGAGGAGGCAGAGCTGCGGGGCTGTGGCAGGGCCATGGCCAGGACACCCAGGAGGCAGCTGCTCGCTGGGCAGCCCTGCAGACACTTTACAGCTGCTTTCTTCATGGCGTTCCCAAGAAAGTGATGTGACTCTCCCCAGGCGATGAATCCACCTTCTGAGATACAGGGATCAAATTGCGCTGCACTTGAACAGCCAGGCTGAATCAAGTCCTCAGGACTTTTTTTTTTTTCTCTCCACAGCAAGGAGAAAATACGAGTGCATACATTATAAAGCTACACCAAACTATTATGTAAATACTGCATGTTGGAGTGGGTATTTTAGTTTTATGGTGGGACAGCAGAAATAAGCTTATAAATCTAAGGCCTGGGGTCAATGCTTAAGAAGAGATTACCTCTAAGCTTTACTTACACATTCTATTTTGGCCCAACAATTTACAATGTATTTCTGGAAAAGTTTAGTCCCTGCTCATTCC